GGGTGTGGCATAATTCGTGAGGGGGGGGGGGGGGGGGAAGCTCTGGCTTTGTGTGGACGTAGCTTAAGGCTAAATCAAAAATGCCTGTCAAAATTAACACTGGCCTGCAAAAAAAACAAACAAACAAACAAAAAAAGATCTTCTAGAGTTGTGTATCTGCTCAACAGAGCATTGTATTCCGATCACAATCAGAAAAAAAGTCCAATCTGAATGTCAATGTTCCATGTAAACACCTCGAAATAAAAATGCCCAAACTGATTGAAATTTCAATTGGGCTGAGAGGGGTGGGATAAACCTTGTCTAATCCATTCAAATGTCAACACTTGATCGCACTGAAAAACAAACTGGAAAGTTTTGCGCATGTGCAATGATAAAGAAATGACGTAATTACGCCAGAACGAGCTGATGTTGTTGTTGTTGAAGAATATAATAAATGACTGATGTGTCGATCTTAAATTCTCTTTCCACTCATTGTCTGTGAAGTGGTGAAGGATAACGTTCCACAAGTGCATGCTTCAAACTCTCATATGCAGACATCTAGTTTTGGATGCAGGAATGGCGGTTTTTACTGCTTGATCAAGCATGATAAGCATCATTGCAAAAAGCTTCATGTGCTTGTCGTCTCCTAATTAGGACTCGAAATAGATAAATATTAAGTTGGCTTTTTGAAAAAAAATGAACAAAAAGGAGGAAATTCTGTATATTTGTGCAGTGTGCGCATGACAAAAGATTAAATCTGATTTGAAGTGAAATATAAATGCGCACATGAACCCGATCACTTTATTTAATGTTCATGTAAACATTAGGTTTGGATTCATCATTTGGAATGATTTCAAAAAAAGGGTCCATGAAAACATGGCTAATGTGTTTTCTCCATTACATCTCTGTCTTCCTCTCCAGAGATTTTTGGTTACAGAGTCTTATTTTAGAAGCTTCTCATTAGCCACCTCTACTCCCCTGTGAGGACAGCGAGACATGGACACGTGTGAATGATGTCTCCTGATTAGAGCTCTCTGAGTGAGTGCGAACATCACTTTTAGGAGAGGGTGAAGATTACAGAAAGAAATCATTTGGGTGTGTGTATGTGCATGTGAATAGTATATTAAATAAATACAGACAAATTATAATACTGGTCCCTCAAATGTCCTCTCACGCTGGCTCTAGGTCATCGGGCCATCGTTACGATCGACCCCTGTGTGTGTGTGCTTCTCTCTCAGTCATCCTGAGACAGACTGACCTTTCTATGTTTACGGGCCGATCAAACTTGAACAGGACGAAGTCTCCAGCCATTGGAGTAATGGCCCAGAAGAAGTCTTCGCCCATGTAGGTCTTCTCAAGTGTATGACCTTGATACACTTTAAGAGAGGTGGACACCTCCGCCGGCGGGTTCATGTGAATCTTATGCAGCAGAGGTTTCAGGAAGTCTTTATCCTAACACAGCAGAAAACAAAGTTAACAGGAAGTGCAGCTGAAGGCCGGACTGATTTATATAACAGTCCTTAATAGTAAAAACAGATATTCGATATGCGATACGATATTGCTTAAAGTGTGTAAAATCTATTTCAATTATATTTTAAAATATAAAATATTAAAAAATTATATAACCAATTTGTTTCACATTCTTTCTCAGAAAAGAAAGAATCACTACAACTTCTGAAAGTGACCAGCAGTGTTTTAGCATTACATAAAAAGTAATGTCACAAAAAAAAAATGTATGACACTAATTTTATATCATTGTAACTTTGCTTTCCATACACTTTAAGTACTTCTTCATATACCACAGCAAAAACTATAGTCTGAGAAAGTTGATTACATGATTTAAACATGATTAAAAGCAAGTGAACAGTCAGTAAAAAAAAAGAAAATAAAAGAAATACACAATTTACAAGAGATACAGAAATTTAATAATTAGGTGTAAAATAACACTGCATAGTGTTCACTGTATGAATTAAATTTAGATTAATCTTTGTTATAGCCATTTTGTTGTTTGATTAACATTAGTGACATATTCAGCAGCACGTATTTATAGGCTGCTGTCCCTTTAAATCCGACTGCACGGATCCAGTATAATGATACACAGCCGATTTCTATCTCAGCTGTTTACATTCATTTAAAACATAACCGACTGCGTTTACGAGAATGATCGTCGAGACGGGTACTATTGACATAATTCTGTGTGTATGTGCCTGTTCAAACATAAGGAGGAGGAGATGCGAAAGACCTTTTGCAACGTTTTGATTTAAGTAGCCTATTATTAAAATGATTCAGATATCGCACGCCCTTGCCATATGCATATTGCGATATTTACATTCGCGATATTTCAATAAATCGTGCAGCCCTAATAAAAATTGTAGTATTGTGAAATATTATTACAAATAAAAGTTTTCTATTATAATATATTTTAAAATGTAATTTATTCCAGTGATGGCAAAGCTGAATTTTCAGCAGCCATTATTCCAGTCTTCAGTGTCAAATGATTTAATGTATCCTTGCTGAATAAAAGTATATATATAACAAGAAAGTCTTAAAGAGATAGTTGACCCAAAAATGAAAATCCTGTCATTAATTACTCACCCTCATGTCGTTCCAAACCCTTAAGACCTTTGTTCAACTTTGGAACACAAATTAAGATATTTTTGATGAAATCAGAGAGCTCTCTGACCCTCCATAGACCGCAACACAACTGACACGTTCAAGGAACATAAAGGTAGTAAGGACAAAGTTAAAACAGTCTATGTGACATCAGTGGTTCAACTGTAATGTTATAAAGCTGCGAGAATATTTTTGTGTGCAAAGAAAACAAAAATAACCACTATATTCAACAATTTCTCCTCTTCCCTGTCGGTCTTCACAACAACACGACACATGCGTGTGATGCTGCTAAAGCAGGAGCCGGCGTTCTGACACAGAACACGGATGCACTGCGCCTTGTTTACAAGCAGAGGAATGCACAAGCATGGTGGTACTCTCGTGAACGCGAGTCAAAGACTGACTGAATAAAGTTGTTATTTTTGTTTTCTTTGCACACAGAAAGTATTCTAGTAGCTTTATAAAATTACAGTTGAACCCCTGATGTCACATGGACTATTTTAACCATGTCCTTACTACCTTTCTGGGCCTTGAACGTGTCAGTTGCATTGCGGTCTATGCAGGGTCAGAAAGCTCTCAGATTTCATAAATATCTTAATTTGTGTTCTGAAGATGAACAAAGGTCTTACAGGTTTGGAACGACATCAGGGTGAGTAATTAATTACAATTTTCATTTCTGCATGAACTATCACTTTAAAGAGATTTTCACTTAAATGAAAATTCTGTCATCATTCAAATTATATAGACTAATTTTATGGTGCTTTTGGGGGCTTGATTGCTCTTGGAGACTGTGACTCTACTGTATTGAAAAGAGCAGTAGGAACATTCTTAATCTCTCATTTAGTGTTCCGTGAAAGGACAAAAGTCATACAGGTTTGGAACGACAGGAAGATGAGTAAATGATGACAATAACTCAAGTAATCTAAGTGATATCTGAATAGCTGGACAAGTATAAAAAAATATAGATATTAAAAATATAGAAGTCACACCAATAAAGCCCAGCTGTGAAAACTCAAGGATCATCCAGTCCTCAGTGGCGAGTTGTAGGGCAAAGTTTTTCATGGTGGCAAAATAGTTGGGCTTGGCAACGATGTCGTCCTCTAACTGTTAAAACAACAGGAAACAGACATGAATCATACAGAACAGCTCATAAACTAGGTACACTTTCACACATGCCGCTGCCGCACCTACTAAAAATACCACATCTAACAATCAACCTGAAGCCACCAATATAAGTACAGACAAACACTAAAGCAAAGCTAAAGCATGTTGTCCTATACTCAAGTAACTTGAGTTCCAAAAAAAACATGAAAGCAATACCTTTCCCCTCTCCTAAAAGAGCACAGCGTGTATTGAGAGCACAAAGACAGGGAGACACTAGAGAGATTTATTGGCACAGCAAAGAAAAAAAATGAAAGTAAATAAAAAAAACAATGAATGAAAACATTCAGTACAGTCCTACACACAGACAGAGAGAAGCACATGAGAATGAGAAAGACATGAACGTGGAATGACATAAATGAACATTAATACAGGATGCTTTTCCGTCTTAGGAAATATTAGAAAGATACTAAATACACAAAATACACTATTGTTCAAAACAGTGGGGTTGGTACGATTTTTATTTTATTTTATTTTTGTTGTTGTTTTTGAAAGTCTCTTAAGCATTTATTTGATCAAAACACAGTAAAATCAATAACATCGCAAAATAATATTATTATAATTTAAAATAACTGTTTTCTATTGCAATATATTTTAAAATTTAATTTATTCTTGTAATGGTGAAGCTGAATTTTCAGCAGCCATTACTCCAGTCTTCAGTGTCACATGATAAATCATCAATCTATCACTAGCTCTCTATAAATCTGATCAATGTTAAAAACAGTTTTTACTGCTTAATATTGCTATGATAAAACTGTAATTTTTTTCAGGATTCTTTGATGAACAGAGCTCAAAAGAGCAGCATTTATTTGAAACAGAAATATTTTGTAACATTACAAATGTCTTTACAAAAAACAGTTTTTACTGCTTAATATTGCTATGATAAAACTGTAATTTTTTTCAGGATTCTTTGATGAACAGAGAGCTCAAAAGAGCAGCATTTATTTGAAACAGAAATATGTTGTAACATTACAAATGTCTTTACTGTCACTTTTGATCATATTACTACTTCAATAAATAAAAGTTTTAATTTTCTTTTCTCTTTTTTTAAAAAGAAATAAAAGTAAAATCTTACTAACCCCAAACATTGGAAAGATAGTATAAATGTAATACAATAAATTAAAATAAAGCTTTTCATCAAGAACAACTGAAAAAGTAGGGAAAAACATCCCATCAGCCTCTCTTCACAAGTGTGATGTTAAATGACAGGTTAAAAGATTCTCATGTGTGATAGGATAAATATTTAACACAATCTGAAACAAGTATAAATAGAAAAAAAACATTTATTGATTTATATTATTTACATAATGCTCACTCTAACAGATTTGCTGAAACCGGGCTCTAGACTCATTCTACCCCTGGTCGCTCTTTTAACTTTCGACTAACTCGTCGACTAACTTTCTCAGTTGGCCACAGGAGCACATAAGTTGGTCGCCTTTTTATTTATTTTTTTGCTACAACATGGGATTAATCAATGCATGCTGATGAACTTTTATCATGGTTTATAGTTATATGGAAACGAAAGTGGTTAACATTCAACCCGTCCTTTTTCATCAGTAGTATTTGTGATTTGAATTGGGTGAACAGGAGTTCCTCTTTTGCTATGTTATAAGCCGCAGGCTTCAGATGCTTCGAACCGAATTCGCGATCTTGGTGTCACGTTTTACAAGAAAAGTTAATTGTCTGTTTTGCTTACATCTATACACATTTCACTTTTTGTTTTAGTAAAACAAAAGATGGATTCATTGTTATTCTTAATTAAAAAGCACAACAACAATAAAACAGTATGCTACAATGACAAACTAGCTTACATAACGTTTATTGACAAAATCAAATAAGACAAGGCATGGTATGGTATACACCACATGCCGATTAATAAATTACAGAACATTTAGCAAAAACTGAAATTTAAAAAAATGTAAACAAATCCTCCATAGCGTAATGTGAAATAAGCTTTTCAAAATGAAAACAAAAAGAAAAGTAAAACTAAACTGGCTGTTGGTGACAGCTTGCATGTTTTTTATCCACAAGAATACCAACATGTTCACCTTTTCTGGTTTAAGAAGCGGTCTTTTACTTTACTTTAGCGTGAAAACCAAATCCTCCGTTCACCAGTTTTCTCAGTATTTGCGGAAATCTGACCCCTGGTACAATGTGTCGCGGCTCTGCAGCGTGCTGTATGGAGCAGACGCTTTGGAGCAGCACAGACCATGCACTCGCACAAATGTGACCACGTCAAATTTTAACTCGCACATTCCCAAAATGTTGTCGCAAATGCGACCATTTTGGTCGCAGTCTAGAGCCTTGTGAAAGGTGGACATTGGTTAGTGAGGACTAAACATACAGGTTTACAGCTGATATCGCTGCAAAAATAACTGGTTGGCAGAAGCTTCTGCTTGATATTTTTCATAATGTTATGCCTTTCATGTTTGTTTGTCCAGCAGAGAGAAACAAATAAGAGGTGTCAAGTTGAGCGTTACACCGCTTTAAATCTGCTGCGACCATGTACAGCTGCTCTAACCGTAGCAAATTCTTTCCCCTGATCATATTCCCAGCTGTAAAATCATTATCACTTCATAAAAACAGAAATCCCAAAACCACCAAGCCACGTTCCCATGACAACCGCTACAGAGCCAAAGTGTGTCTTTAGGGTATATCCAGATACACGAGTAACCACAGCAACCCCTGAGCAGAGAGCTTTTGGGGTGCTTGTCTCTGTCTGAACTGAAGAGCTTCCAGTGGGGATCTGGCACACTAACTAGAAACCCACACTGAAATATACACCGCTTAGGAAACTGACTGAAAGCGGACAAATCAATCAAAAGGTATTTCATCAACATATTAGGTTTAAGTTTAACACTGGTCTCAACTGTTCAACTTCATGTCTTTGTGTGACATGCTGTTAATTAGCAAAGACAAAACTTTCGATTCGACTCTCCAGTCTGCATAAATTAATGAAATATGCGTTCACAGTAATACACGTATTGTAAAGAAAAGTTATATGCATTTTTTTAAACTGTTACTGGAAGTAAACTTGGTTAACTTAGTAACTGTGTGGGAATATCATGAATGGAGAAGTAACATCAGTAAAAGCACTTTTAAACAACAACAACACAGAATTCAATGTTATTTTAGTATTATTTATGTATGAACTAGCTTTTATTTTCATATTTTCAGTTTTAACCTTAATTCATGTTTTTGTCATTTTGTTATATGCTTTTGCCTTTTTTTCAGTTCAGTTAGTTGCCAATGCAACATTTCTAATTTCCATTGAAGTTTTTCATTCAATATGTATATTTATCTCAGCTTTATTTCAATTAGCAAAAATTATTTTTATAATAGTTTCAAGTTTAACAATAACAACTGCTTAAAATAAAAATATAAAGAATTAGATTTATAAAACAATTTGATAACACTTTACTTAAAGCCTTTATGTATAATGCATTATGTAGGGTTGTTACATGGTATAATGCATTAAAATAATCCATAATATGCATTGTAATACATTATATCTTGTCGTTAATAACCAAAATTTTAAATGCATAGTGTAACAATGTGTTATTTAAGTGTTATTATGTATTAACTGTGGTTACAATTATTCATGAGAGTTTACAATAATTATGCCTTGTAATGTACCTTATAATGCAATGCATTAAATCTACTTTTATAATGCATTATAAATAAAAGGCTTTAATTAAAGTGTCACCAACAATTTATACATAAAATAAAAACATAACACTAAAACCAATAGTCTTAAATGCCACGAGTGAATTTAAGCATTATAAAGTAACGTAAGAAAATTTATATTCATTTTAAGATTTGCTAAAGATAACATTTATTGCTGTTATTAAATTATAAGCAATTAAAAAAAAAAAAAAAGAACTTTAAGAGAATGTAAGATAATGGCAAAGATAAACAGGGTAGCTAACCTAAATAATTAAATATAGGTCAATACATCTCCAGTATTAATTGGTACTGAACAATAATAAAATTAAAAAAAATCAATATAAACCGATACCCAATACAGTACCAATTTATTGTGCAACATTAATTATTGTATGTGGTAATTTACAGCATGCCACAAATGCGATCAATAGACATTAGGTTGAAAAATGTTTAGATCATCATATAGGCGACATAACTGTTTCAGAGTTAAAATTCTTTCTGCAATATTTAGTTTGTTTATTATGCAGAAACAGCTATGAGAAAGCCATGCGTGGGTCGCTTTACCCAAAGTGTAAACACTATGACGCTTTCAAAACACTGCTCTGTTTCTATTTGTATCCTGACCATCCTGAGACAGCCACACTGACTCAACCAATGGTGTGAGTTTACCGACCAATAGCAGACAGGGGAGTGTTTTGGGAACCTGTTTGAAAAGTCATTCGATTTTTAATTCCATTGAGTGACGCTAGTGGTGCAGACATTACACGCTTAACCTTTAAACTTGGCAATTTGATTACCTGGACATAATAGACCCCTTTGTTCACAGCATACATCATTAGAAAGGAATAGTCCAAGTTCTGCTTGGTCCTCCATCTACAAAGACACACAAAAACATGTTAAAAAAGGGAGACGCCCAGTAGTCTAAAAGCAAAGGTTTAATGTACAAGTTAACTGGTTGATGAGTCGGCTGGGAGTGAAATTCTAGATGTCAAGCGTATGAGGAGTGTGACTGACAGTAACAGAAAACAGAAACATACACAGCCAAAAAGCTAAATAAGGGTTGGGTGAGTCTATAAACAAAAACACATCACTCACGCATACTCAATATAAGCTTTGTTATTCAGTCGTCCTTTTCGGTAAAGGGTTCAGAAAAGAGAGACATAAATATTCAAAAAGGACACACAAAAACATGTTAAAAAAGGGAGACGCCCAGTAGTCTAAAAGCAAAGGTTTAATGTACAAGTTAACTGGTTGATGAGTCGGCTGGGAGTGAAATTCTAGATGTCAAGCGTATGAGGAGTGTGACTGACAGTAACAGAAAACAGAAACATACACAGCCAAAAAGCTAAATAAGGGTTGGGTGAGTCTATAAACAAAAACACATCACTCCCGCATACTCAATATAAGCTTTGTTATTCAGTCGTCCTTTTCGGTAAAGGGTTCAGAAAAGAGAGACATAAATATTCAAAAATGACAAAGAATATTAAATATGAGGGGCATCAAAGCCGCTCATTTCCTTTGATCAAACTGACTTTGTAAAGTGGACGAGAGTAGAGTTTGTGGAACAGAATAAGAACTCAGATGCTCAACAAGGTGCACACACACACAGTCATGTCAGATGGCATCATTGGGAACAACTTTATAGCAAGTGGTTTCATTTGGAATCGATCTTAGCAATGGCCTTGATTGTGCAAAATCAACAATAAAAGCACAAAAAAACAAACGTGAGTAAAAATGTAGTTAAATTTAATTTAGTCAAATAGGCAATAATTTAATTAAGAATTGCAACCTAATGAATAATTTAAACAGAACTGTAATAATGATAAGCTGACCCTTGCTAAAAAGAAAGTCAAATAAGGGGAAAAAAATAATGCTACCAATCTTTCTACAGCATCTACAGACTTGATTCAGTATCCAAGTGCATCCTAACAGACCTGCTGTATTTTTTGAAAATATACACTACTGGTCAGTGAGAATTTTTAAAGGGGTCATATGATAAAAAGAACATTATTTTGTGTATTTGGTGTAATGAAATGTGTTTATGCGGTTTAAGGTTAAAAAAACACATTATTTTCCACATAATGTACATTATTGTTTCTCCTCTATGCCCCGCCTTTCTGAAACGCATCGATTTTTACAAAGCTCATCGGTCTGAAAAGCGAGGTGTGCTGTGATTGGCCAGCTATCCAGTGTGTTATGATTGGCCGAATACCTCAAGTGTGTGACAGAAATGTTATTGCAATTTATTTCTATGAAGGCAAAGCTAAATTTTCAGCGCTCATTATTATGCTGATTTGCTCAGTAAACATTTCTGAATATTACCAATGTTGAGTTAACAACAGTTGGGCTGCTTAGTATTTTTGTGGAAATTTTGTTTTAGGATTCTTTGATGAATAGAAAGTTTTCTTTAAAATATTTGTAACTGTTTTTTAATGAATAATTAAGTAATTTATTTTAAAAAATTACATTTTAGAACAAACTTTTGAATGAATAGCGTATGTTTGTAAAATATTGTTTACTTACTGCTCATAATTTTTAACAAATTAATTGCCGTTTAGTTAAATTCATAAAAACGTGTTTAAAAAATTTAGAAATAGCTGAAGGCTGCAAGGCTCTGAATTAAATTTAACGTTGTATCATTATTTAATTTGAATAAACAAAGGAGTGTGTTGAATTGCATATCTATAAATATTTCTCTGATATTTAAATTGGTATTGAGAATAATAATATTCGGCATTGGCATTTTTCAGTCGTGACAACCCTAGGACAGGCAGAATCAGAGTTATGAAAGAGAGAGCATGACACCAAAAGACAGAAGAGGCAGTGAAAGAAAGAGATGCCCAGAGTGATAGAGATTAAATTGAGACAGCTGTAGATGAAAGATTTAGGGAGAGCAGGAGAAGAGAAGAGAGGTCCTTTTAGGACAGAGAGAGAGGAGGAAGGAAGTAATGAAGGAATGAGTTGATGTCTTTGACCTTGAGCTTACTGGCTTCCTGTCTCACAACAAATCTGCCACGCCTCTCGCTCGGTCTTTCTCTCCAGAAAATCTCACTGACATCTCTCCCTCTCTAATCACATTTGTGACAGTAAATCAGCTCTGACTCATGCACTGAAATATGAGATCCGGGCTAATCAAAACTTTATTTCAGCCTCACCCACCACAGAAATCTCTATGGGCACATAAATACTGTCACACGCACTCACCGCAGCAACGGCCAGCGCAACCATATGACAGACCACAATCAATACACCTACACACACCACCTGTCAAACACTTGAACACACTCCACTGAAAATAAATGCCTTGAATTAGTTTTGTAGACAAATAAAAAGGAGATATGAAGATATCAATTAAGATATTTTACATGGTTTAAAATGGTTACAATATCTGGGACTACACAATTCTCCACTTATAGATTTGATGATTTGCCTAATATCCTAAAATACAGAAACGGTAATAATAAATAGAAGTGTCCAATTCTTTGAATTCTTTGACGTTCATTGGCATACTACACTACTGCATATTATTATACTATCTTGCATATGTAGTATTGTTTCAAATAAAAGTACATTGAGTACAGTACGCCAAAAAATGTCCAGACAGCAAACAATATTCAATGAAGTATTCATACACTTTTTTTTTTTGAGAAACATACTACTGTTCAAAAGTTTGGGGTCAGTAAGAGTTTTTTGAAAAGTAAATGAATACTTTTATTCAGTGAGGATGTATTAAATTGATCAAAGTGACAGTAAATACATTTATATTGTTACAAAATATATCCATTTCAAACTAATTCTGTTCATTTGAATTTTCTATTTATTAAAGAATCTTTAAATATATATATATATATATCATGGTTTCCACAAAAATATTAAGCAGCACAACTGTTCTCAACATTGATAATAATAATAAATATTTACTGAGCAGCAAATCAGTATATCAGAATGATTTCTGAAGGCTCATGTGACACTGAAGACTGCAGTAATGATGCTGAAAATTCAGCTTTGCATCACAGGAATAAATTACATTTTAAAATAAATTCAAACAGACAAGATATATTTTAATGTTTAATACTATTTAACAATACTACAGCATTTTTACTGTATTTTTGAGCAAACAACTGCAGCCTTGATCAGCATAAAATACTTTTATTTTTTTTTATTTCACCGACCCCAAATGTTTGAACAGTAGTGTATGTAGCAATTTTTAGGTAATAAATTAGGTCACTTTTAAGAAATAAATTTTTATATATGCTAACATTTACAGTATGCAACAAGGCAACTGTTTTATTATATACCCAGAAGTATGCACTTTCCCACACAGTCTATTAGTGTTTTGTAGAAGTATGTGGCTCCTGGAGAGCATAATGTTTCCTAAATACTTACTTCACCCTCTCCTTTGAGTCACCAAAGGTCTCTTTCAAGTTGCTGAAGTCTGGATAGTAGCTGGCAGGGGGAGATATGACCTCCAGTAAACCAGAATTCAGCTCTCTGTAGAACCTGATGGACAATGACAGTCAGGAACAACAGTTAGCAAGGCATCTGAACCATTAGGTTAAATGTACAATTAAGATCATAACACAACTTAATCTTGAGGACGTTCAGTGTGGCAAGAGAAAAAGCAACTTACTCTTTTTCAAGGCCTGCAACCACACTGTTTACGTAATCTATGTCCGTCTGTGAGGAAGCAAACAAAGCACTGGTTAGCACACACTCACACACACAGGCTCGGCACAAATACAGGTGCAGTAACTACTAAGTAAATACACCAGCGCCTGACAGCATGGAAAAATATGGGAATTGGAGTGACTCTGCTCTGGGCGGTTTGTTATCTCAGTGAGGACGACGAATTGTCTTTTCTCACTGATTTTCTTCACCCTACACCATCTGTGGGTGCAAGTACTGTAAAACAGCAGTGAGTGATGTGGGAAGGGATATACTCTCTCTGGCTCACACATGTGCTGGGGTAACAAAAGAGCCTCATTAGAAGGTCTTTAGATGCACTGCCACTGGGTGTTTTCAGCTTTACTAAAACACTCCAAGCTAATTACTGTACTACCATTGTTACAGAAAACCAAAAGAACAGCTGATGATCACACAGAAAACATCAGCTACCAGACATAACCACGGCCCACAGACACAGAGGAGGGTACAAAAACACTGGACCACAGACTGGAGGAAAATAACTACATTTATTATGCCAAGACAGTTGATGTATAGAAACACTGTACTGTTAGGGGTTAAGCGGCACCTAACTTTTTTTTTCCTGTTTATACAGACTACTTTTTTGATTAGTCAATTAATCTAATAGAACAGCCCACTGCAACACAGTAACTACATTCATATTATAAATATTTTATGCAGAAATATTGTAACTTAAGAATGATAAAAAAAAAAAACTGACTTTTTTTTTCTTTTACAATGTAATGTATATTATAAAATCAACAGTTTTTTTCCAGTAACGAACACTAGCAATTGGCATTTTTTATGGAAACCACCAAGGTACATTTTATAATATATAAAAGCTGAAAAGAAATCTGTTCAAATCTGTTAAAAATATAGACTATCATTTCAAAATCTGGGATAAGTATGTTTTTAATGTTTACGAAAAAATCCAGTATTATAACAAATTTTAAAAACACGTTTTCTACTTGAATATATTTTTAAATATTATTTATTTCTATGACGCAAATGTGTATTTTCAGCAGCCATTACTTCAGTGTCACATGATCCTTCAGAAATCATTCTAACTAGGGATGCTCCGATAGATCGGCTACCGATCACTATCGGCCGATAATCACGTTGGGATGATTGATCGGCGGTCTCGAAAAAGGCCGATCTAAAAAAAATTATCTCAAGCCGCTGCCGTGAGAGGTTTGGCACGACATGCAGCGGCACCGTCTCAGTCTCTGTCAGGTGCGGGTAAAATAATCATAATGCTGAAGGTGAGGTACTCACCTTCATATTTCTTCATTAGATAACTTATAAAGTAATTTGAAAACCTTGTGTGAGACGTAAATTTCACAAACAGCGTGAGTGAATGACCGCACGCGCTCTCTCTCAAAATACGCAAACGTCTTCAAATCACCACACATCGTGTCTGTCTATAAGCGAGCTGCACGCTGCACAGTTGACACAGTAATTGTCACTTGCACAATCGAAGCAGTGTCACATCGTCACTAAAGTTTATAAATTGCATTACTTTTTAATTCTTGCCGGTGTTTAACCATCCAGCGCTCGTGTGCTCTCCTGGAGACCGTGCGCTCATGCACACTCGCAGCGCACACACATTATGCCAGGGTCACATTACTTAGTTTGCAGTGCGTATGCGGTGCGTATTTTTTTCCGCGCTCATGTTAACAGATTAATAAAGCGTGCACACTGCACACCGTTGCTGTCCGGCAGTGTGTTCAGGAGCGGTGCATCTGCAGCAGTGCAGAGATCGTTTCTGCACCAAGTCTATTTTTGCTGCGCTGCAAGTGCTGAATTAAAGTAACAGCGCATTTTTTTGCAGTAAATATGAACATGGATTGACACGAAAATTTAGTAATTACACCATAAATGCA